TTGTAGAAATGTATTTTTAAATAAATCAGAATGCTCAAATTACAATGGGATTTATTCAAACTTTCAAATTTACATCTTCGAAAGTAAGATGTATAATGTATGCCTCTTTATTTATAGTATACTTACATTTGTTCTTGTACGTAAGAAATATTTTTATGTTTTTATTTAAGAACTGAAATACATGTATAATTTATCTTTTGCAATTTTGGATTAATAAAATAGATTAATGATTAAAATCAAACAGTTGTTTTTTGAACGCTCACTGGCGCGTTGCAATTTGTACAGTTTCGATTTACTCATCGAAATTTTCTTTTAATTTCGATCGAAACCGAAATCAAACCGAAACCCTGATTTTTTTTATCGAAACTGACCGAAACCGAAATTTCGTTCGGATTCTAGTAATTTCCCAGAAGGCCATTCCAACATTACTGCATTACAAACGTTGCAGCAATGTTGCTATCAGCTTTTTTGCTATATATTACAATCACCACATTTTATTTTATCTACAAAAAACGTATTTATTAATTTAAGAACACAACAAAGTTCTCTTTGAATGTACATCTTAAATATTTAATAAATATTGCATTTGTTTTATATTTAAATCTAAAGAATCTTTATAGAAAATATACTTTTTATAAACATTGCACGCAAAAAAAGGACTTAGTAATATCAGCTAAATATCAGTTACTGGTTCAAACTTTGCTCTTATTGATAAAAGTTGGCTATTGAAGATGAAATACATTTGCTGCCGACATCCAACTTTATTAGTTATAATTAAAAGCGTACTTAACATGAGTAGCTAAGTGTAAGTGGCAGCTATTCCTCACTATTTTAGTCGCGTAACCGAACATTCCATTCGCAATTGTTTCTCGGACGCTGCTGATTGCCATTAGACTCTAACAGAGAATATTTTTCAGTGCAGCACCTAAATTTTAGTAATTAGTAAATTGAGCTTTGGCAGCAACAACATTAGCTGTCTCTATTATACGAACACGTTTTAACTACCACAGCTATATTTTAGCTCCGTTGACTAATCTTTTCTCTGTGTGTGTTAATAATTTTATTAACAATAATTATTTACGATTTACAAAAAAGGATTTAAAAAATGTGGAATGTGCAAAAATAGTGAAAAATGTTTCTATATAATTATAGCTAATAAATTACTTTTAACTAGGACATTCACTTTTGCCCTTTCTTTATTTTAAAAAGAGAAATCACGGAAGAAAGAGGAAAAGGAATTATTTGAAAGATATAATATCTTTAACGAACTTGTTTAACAGATTTCTTACATGCTTACATTTTTTTGCGATGAATTTACATACCGCTAGCCTAAATTTTCACTTCTGTTACCGGCTT